CCGCCACTGACGCAGCTGGTTGAGAGGCTGCACACCGACGCCGAGTTTTCAGAGTCTGGCATTCTGTTGACGGCGCTGCGGGCGTCAAGGGAGCTCATGAAATGCAAGCACACACATCAGGAACTCGCCGATACGGGTGTGATCGCCGCGGCGCTGCAAGTGATCTCGGTGGACGTCGGGCGCGGCGACGACGGCCCGGAGGCGGTCGCAGCGGCGCTGATCAGCGACGCCGCGAGCAGCGAGGGCCCGCTGCGGGGCGCGGTGATCGTGGAGGTTCTGCCTCTAGTCGCGCGCCTGGCCGGTGCCGGCGGCGGGGCAGCGGCGCGCGGCGCAGTACGCGCGGCGGAGCGGCTGACCAATTGCTGCGAAGAGCTCGACAAGCCGCTGCTCGCGGCGGGCGCCGCGCCGGCGCTGGTCGCGCGGCTGTGGGATCGTGATGTGGCGGGCGCGGAGGACGCTGCGTGGGCGATCCGCAACCTCGCATGTTCCGGGGAAAAGGCGTGCTCAACGATCATGGCATGCATGCCGCTGCCGCAGCTGCTGGATCTGGCTCGGGGCGGCAGAAGCGCTGCCGAGCGCGCCGCAGCATGCGCTGCGACATGCGCAGTGAAGGAGCTTATCGTTGGGAACAGGCGGGCGGCGCGCGTGCGGGCACGGGCGGCGGCGGCCGCGGGGGCCAGGGAGGTGCTGAGGAGCGTCGTTGAGAGAGGTGCAGCTGACGAGACCGCGAGAGACGCGGCTGAGGCGGCGCTAAGGGCGCTTGCGGCTGCCGTCGGTCAACAGGGCAACGGTGGCAGGGGCGCAGAGAGTGAGGCTTGAGGATTGTTGAGAACAAATTGTTCACGACCGGTGTCTGCGTTGTTGACATTCAAACCCACTATTTCAACACAAACATGGTGTAGAGAGAGGCGACGCTCTTTGAGCACTTATTCCTGCTCCCTGTTGGTCATAACATGAGTTGGCCATGTCAGGTCAGCAAACAAATGGCAGGTCCATCCGCACGCCATTGCAATACCCGTTTCCTGTGACAACCACAGCTTGCTGAGGCGCACTAATTTTCCTGCACGTGAATTGAACGCCTGCAGCATATGACGATCAAAAGCGAACGCCCGGGAGGTTCAAAAAAACAAGCAACAGGAAACAAGCAGTCAAAGCCAGGACGCTCACCCAGAAACAGCTTCAACTCATGTGCCGTGCAATAAAATGATCTCCATTAAGACATGCAATTATCCTGCTCTAAGAGAAACTGGTGTCCGATGCCGGGTCAGGGGGTATGTTTGTGGTACAGAATGTGATCTACACAGGCCCACGCGAGTGCGTCATCTGGGGGGCGCCGTCAGCCTCCCATGACGCGCGCCAGCTGGCGACTGATCACCAGACGCATGACCTCGTTGGTGCCTGGGAACGCAGGTTGGTGGGTGTGACAGTTGAGAGGTTTACATATCACCAATTATGTGTTCACATGCGTGTGCGCATACATGCGATTGAAAATCCAAGAAGGTATTTCAACTGTAATGGGTTGCCCTCGCACGTGTGTGTGTGTGTGTGTGTGTGTGTGTGTGTGTGTGTGTGTGTGTGCGCGCGCACGCGTGCGTGCGTGCGTGCGTGCGTGCGTGCGTGTGTGTGTGTGTGTGTGTGTGTGCGCGCGCGCGTGCACGTGCATGTGTGCGCGCGCGTGCACGTGCATGTGTGCGCGCGCGTGACGTGCATGTGTGCGCGCGCGTGCACGTGCATGTGCGCGTGCGCGTGCGTGTGCGTGCGTGTGTATGTGTGTGCCTTGAAAATTGCCATCCAGCTCCTGAGTGTGACGACGCTAGTGGCGGCCCCAGATTTGAAGGTTCGCGCGCGTTATGCCAGCGGCTAGCGCGGGGGCAGCACCACACATGTGACGTAAGAGCCCCTGTAGAACTGCGTCTGAGGCAGCGTCGCCCTTGCACACGACCGACAGCCAGCAACCATCCAGTTTGATCCGCTCGCCATGCGGTGCAGCTTTGCAACACAATCGATCGCGCCCAGTTGCATGCGCGCGCACACGCGTGCGCGGACACACACACACACACACACACACACACCCACATACTCTTGCACAAACAAACACACACACACAGACACATGCATGCGTGCTTCCTGCTCGGCACGACACTAGTCAATGCGCACCCTCCAGGATGGAGTGTACCCTGAGGTCCCTGACCAGCCGCTCCATGGGGAAGTCCCTCAGGAAGCCGTAACCGCCCAGCAGCTGCTGCGCGTCGAGCGCCACCCTGAAGCACTCGTCGGTGGCCAGGCGCTTGGCCTGGGACGTGATGGACGGTGTGCGTCCATGCGTGTGTGTCTGTGTGCACGTGTGCGTGTGTATTGCGCGACTGGCACATATGTGAGTAGCAGCACAATCGCAAAACGAGGGACGCAAAACCGCACACATGGGGTGCTCGCCGGGAAAACTTGCTGATCGGGGCGGGCATTGGGGTTTGCCGCACCATGGCAGCCATCATGGTTGCCTCTGGCGCCTGCGTTTACAAAGAGGCAAGGCGGCGCATAGTTAAGGCACGGTCAAAATCACCAAAGCGTGAGGGTGGGGCATGACAAATGCAGCAGTGGCGGGCTAGCGGCTCTGCATCGCCGCCCAAGCATGCTCTGGCGCGTGCGGCCAGCTGTCGCCGCCTCAAAACCCCCGCCGCAATCAAAGCACCCGCTGGCCTTGATGTCAACCCTCTTGCAAGCGACGGCCCTCCCCACGCCGATGCAGAAGGGCTACCTATGCCGATGCAGAAGGCCCACGTATGCGTGGGCCGGTTCCCAAGACCCTGTTAGGCCCCTTTCCCCTCACACACACTCTCACACACCTTGGCGTCAAGCGCCGTAGCCGCATGCCGCACCATCAGCCGCGACGCCTGGAGCCGCGTCGCCATGTCAGCCAGCTTGAACTGCGAGGCCTGCGGCAGCAGCGGCGGCGGCAGCGGCGGCGGCATCATCATGCCCAGTGCCTTATTGTGGCAATTGCTGTCAGAAGCCTGCTGCTTTGAGAGGCACGTGTGTACCATAGAGGAGCGCCACCTAGCTGCACTGCCAAGTGCTGGGGCCTGACTGGTCACGACGGGGGGAGCTGGCCCGCCGGGCCAACACACGTTTTGTTGCGTGCGGGCCGGCGGCAGCGCCAGCGAAACCAATTGGGTGTCCGCCGTCAGATGCGTAAGAGGTGCCAAACCAAGGGTTGCCTGGGGTTAATCCCAGGCAATATTGCTGGAGCACGGCAGTACCCCTAATCGTGGGTCCGCCCTACACGGGATATTGCTCTCACCTGAAAACGTCCAATTGGCTGTTGAGGCGCGGCGACAAGATGTGATTGCGGCAGTAAAGGGGATGTCGGGTGCGTGAATGCGAGCGCAGAGGCGCACGAGTATTGCCAGCAGTGGGCAGCACCTGCTGCAGGTGTCGTGCAGTCTCAGGGCGCCGCCCTGCGGCTGTACGCAGCGGCGCTCGGTTTGGCAGGGCTGCGATCGAGAAGTTGAGCGGCGGGCTGATCGTCTACATATTGCAGGCGCGCCTGCTGCCTTGACGCGGGACCCTGCGAGCTCGCGTTTGCGGCGCGCGCGCCGCATCCCGCTCAGCGCGGAGCCGTCCGCACCTGCCCGAATTGAGAACGCTCGCACGCGTACGCGTAGGCCGTGTCCAGGCAGAAGGCGCCCCCTCCCACGCTGCACGCCCCGATGTTGATCCGCCCGCCGTCCAAGGCAGCCATGGCGATCTTAAAACCCTGTCCCTCAGACCCGATCAGGTTCTCGGACGGCACGAAGACCTTTTCGAGGTTGACGGCGCAGGTCGGCTGCATGCGCCAGCCCATCTTCTTCTCTGGGGCACCAAAGCTGAGGCCGGACGCGCCCTGGCGCAATGGCGAGTGGCGTTGGAGGATGCGTGTGCATGAGATGTTGGGGGCAGGGGCCTGAGCCGTGGCAGGTAGGTGCGCAGTAGGCGTGCGGGAGCGTCATAGCGGATGTACAGAACGCTTTCACCCCTGGATTTGCCTGGGAGCTGCCACCCTTGACGTGGGAATTAGGTGAGGCTCGACCCAGGTTGACCGCTGTCAACAGCTTTGAAAGTGGAGCAGGCAAGCGGTGGCAGGAGCAGGCCGCCCAATAGTTGCCCAGAAAAGGGCACCCCAATTTTGTTATAGCCGCACCTTCTCAACCAAAAAGGCGCTGATCCCTTTGTCCCCGCCGCTGCCTTTGCTACTGCTGCTGCCGCTGCCGCCGATGCCGCCGCCCTCCTCCCCTGGTGGCGGGAGCGGCCGGCCTATGCCGAGGCCGATGCTGCCGCTGCCGTCGCCGCCGTCACTTGTGGCGGTGCGGGCGATCACAATGTAGACGTCTGCCACCCCGCCACCACTGGGGAAGGAACGAACATATGCATGGGGCAGGCAGTGTTGTGGGGAGTGACGAGGTGCTGAGTGAGGACTGGTGCGCAGGATCACTGGTTGAAATCAACAGAAGCGGCAAGCTGGCGCACCGGCGGACCACTACAACATGCCAAGAGGCGCTCAGGCAAAGCGATATTACTGCTTGCGGCTGGAGCCATCAGGCTGCCGCAGGACCAAGGGTCTGCGTGTACAACACGCACGCACACATACGCACACACGCACATGGATTCACACACACACACACACACGCGCGCGCGCACACTCACACACACACCTGATGAACGCCTTGCTGCCGCTGAGCAGCCAGCCGCCATCAGTCCGAGTCGCCACCGTCCGCATGCCGGCCGCGTCGCTGCCGCTGCCAGGCTCTTGGGAGCGAAGAGTGTGATGCGTGGCACACGTGCACGCGCGGGCGCGCGTGTGTGTGCGTGTGTAAAAGAGCATGAGTGCAGTGGTGCCTACTGAGCGAACATTTATGAACTTCAGGGCAGGGGTACATCGCGATTGCGACTTGCTGTGGCTGAGAGCTGCACCTACACAACGGCAGGATATTGCAAACGCAATTTGCAACCAACCACCTGCTGATGCTTCCATGTCCAATCCCATAAGCCTGGATGGCTACAGGAGTGGGCAAATGCGGGACGCTGCAACAATCCTAATCATGATCCTGCTCACCGGTGAGGCAGTACGCCGACATCAGCTCGAGTGACGCCAGGCGTGAAAGGTACCGCCGCTTCAGCGCCTCACTGCCGTGCCTGCAGGGTTTGATTGGATATATTGTCCAAGAGTTGCTTGCAAGTCGTCCCTTGCATTGTCTGAATTGCATCTGGGGTGACCTACAAGGTAAATATATGCTGACCGTTTGCCCGTTGTATCAGACCCCTTGTAAGTGAGTCGCTTAAAGAGTGTCACGCACCCCTGCAGCCTCGTTGCCCGTCACCTGTTGATAATGCCGCTCGCCATGTTGTGGATCGTCAGGTAAGCCGTGAACGGGACTGGGAAGATAGGAGGGCGGGTGACAAAGGGGATGCTCAGGCCTCCGTCAAAGGTGCAGCGTGGTCAGTTGCTGTGAGAGATGCGGGCGGGCAAAACCAGTGTGGACCGAGCGAGGTGGGTTGCTTTGAAGAACAAGGGGTGTGGGCGCAGGTGCTTGCATGCAGTTGGGGGACCAAGGGAGGGCTCGAGTTGACGAGGCGTGTATGGAGGCCACTCAAAAGTCACGAGACGTCTATGGAAGCCAGTCAAAGGTCAAACCTAGAGGTTGCATCCCGCACCCAGCCCCGCACCCCACCCCCGGGGGTGCCGCACCGTCGCCATACGCAAGGGCCTCGAAAATGACGGCGCCGTCTGCAACGTGGTGGTGGCGTTGGCGGATTGAGGACGCTTCACTTAGGCGCTTGGCACTGCCGATCGCTCTTCCTCGGGTCCAGAGCAGCGAGGCGGTCCGCCACCGTCGCCCAGGCATAAGCGCCTCCGCTGCTGAGAGCACACGCGCCTCAACGCAAAGAACAGCCCTCTCCGCCGGCGTGCTTCGCGACACCCTCAACAACAGGCACCCAGGACCCCCGGCGCACCGCACCCGACCGGCTGAGCGCCGCGCCGCCGAACTCCTCTGGCGTATAGAGACCCCCAAACCCAAGCTCGGCGGCGCGCTTGAAGGTGTGAATTGGAAACTCCGAGCGCTCGTCCCAGCGCGCGGCGTGGGGCGTTAGGTGCTCGCGCGCAAAGTCCGACGCGAGGGCTGGGGGTGGTGTGAGGTTGGTGGGCGACGCCGGGGCGGGCGGCGTGTGGGGGAGGGGGGGGGGCAGGGTGCGGGGTTGTCCGGGGCGGCGTGTGCAGGGGCACGTGCGTGGCCAATGGGCGGCGACGCACGCATGCAGCAGGCGCTATGGTGCCATGGGTAATGCAATAGCGCCACAATTTAGGCGTCTGTCCTCACTTTGGAAATCGATTTGCTCGGGCGTGAGCCCGAGCGTGCCCCACCCGCCAGGCGCGTCCGCCAGCGGGGCGTCCGACGAGTGCGCTCGCCATGCTAGACGCCCCGACAGCGCTTTGCCAGCCCGTTTGGCTCCTTGTCTTAGAAGCAACATCCAGGAGGCGATCCGGAAAGGAGGCACCACTGACGAGGTGGCAAGCGCGCTCGAGATCAACTACTGCAGCCAATGACAACCGGTATCAGTGAATAATAATAGTTATGCTACCAAAAACTTTCAAACAAAGAATGTTTTGCACATACAGCACACTTTTGTCGCATTGACGGTGTCTGCTCCATCCTCATCGCCCGTGGCGAATTTCAGGCCCGCATCGCAATTTCAGGGTCCCAGATAGAAACAAACACGCGCGCGCGCACGGGCGGAGGTCTACGCGCGTGCGCCGACCCGGAGCAATGGCCGCCGCTCCGCCTCAAGTGCAGGAGGCTGACCTGATGCCACTTGCCGAGGCTCTCAAGCTGCTTGGGCTACAGGTATGCGCATAGAAGGAGGCAGCTATAATGAGGCGTTTGAATGGGGATGGCGACAGGCAGGCTGCACGCGTGCGCGTCGCATCAGGCCAACCAGCTCGACGTGGTGTGGCGGGGCGCTGACCCAGGGCCGCCCGGCACCTGCGCCCACGCCCGCGCCCTCACTGCAGGAAGGCGCAAGCCAGGAGCAAATCAGGGCCGCCTACAAGGCCCGCCTGCTGCGCCTGCACCCGGACAAGCAGCAGGCCGCGCGCGCGAAGCGCTCGGCGACCGCGCCCTCCCAAAACACACCCACTGGCGACAGCGCCACTGGCGGCGGCAGCGGCAGCGGCGAGGCGGCCGCGGCTGCGGCGTTCCACCGACTGCAGGCCGCGTACCGGGCGCTCACCGCGCCGCCGCCGGAGCAGCGGTTCGACGCGCTGGTCGCGAATGGGCGCGCCTTCAGCCGCGAGGTCCTGGACGAGGCGCTGAGGCAGGGCCTGGGACCTGCGGACGTCGCAGCTATGTGAGCCCCGCCCCAACCCTTTGACTTCATTTATCTGTCGCTGTTCTTGGACGGCGCTGCTGTCGTTTGTGAAGACGCGTAGAAGTGTGGCGGACGGCGTTCCTCTTGCTTGATACGGCTGACGGTTGGTTGCGTCTTGCGGAGGGGCGGGTGCCAGGCCGCCTCATCGCCCGCTCCCTTGACGCTGGATGGAGGGCCCCCAACCCAGCGCAGCAGACAGTCTCAGGCAGCAAACTGGTCAAGGTGTGGCAGTTTGCGGCTGGCGTGTGACGCCGAACTGCCACCCGCACACCGGCCATGCTCACCTTGTGTCCCCGTGAAATACTCCGACGCGCAGCCAGCAAACGGTCGAGGCGTTCGAGGCCGCCGAGGCGTCCGGCGGCGCGCCGCCCCCGGCGCCGCCACCAGAGGAGCTGCTGGTGTGGCGGCAGCTGCACAAGAGCATCCAGCGGCGGCGGCGGAGAGGTGCGTGCAGGATAGCAGCCTGGTGATAATCCTGCATCCCCGCCTGCTGTGATGTGCTGTTTTTGGGTGTGATGTACTGTGTTGTCTGTGGACGTTCACACCATGTTGTTGTCTGGGACACCACACATCAGGATGACAAGGGTCTTGAGCTGCAAACCTGATCATTGTATCTGCCTCTGTGCTTCGCAGAGGAGCGGGAAGCGGCAATGCGTGAAGAGCAGGCTGCTGCGGGGCAGGGCCCGCAGCGGGGCCACAGCCGCGGCGAGCAGGGGCCCAGCCCCGCGTGGGCAACGCTCAAGGGGATGGTCTCAGACCTGCTGCTGTCGACACCGGCAGATCTGTGGGTTCCGGAAGATTTTGGGGCGGGGCGGGGCACGGCTGGCCCCGGGTTGGAGGTGGCTGCGCCCGCATCCCCGAGCGGCGGCGCGGACCCAGGCCGGGGCAGCAGAGAATGCAGCGGTGACGGCGTGGCCTCCCGCGGCAGCAGCGGCAGCAGCAGGGATGGTCCTGAAGTAGGCAGCGGCACGAGCAGCAGCGGCATGAGCAGGAGCAGCCACCACGGCAAAGTGGTGCACGGCAGCAGCAACAGCAGCTGCAGCAGCAGCAGCGGCAGCAGCCCTGCAGCTGGGACCGACGAGCGCAGCAGCAAGCGGCCGTCGAAGTCAATGGGCGGCATGCAGCAGGAGCTCGGCGGCGGCAGCAGCCAGCCGCCGAGGTCTCAAGCGACCAGCGGGCAAGCGACAAACAGCTGCGTCGAGCGCCCGGGGATGGCGGGCTCTAATCCAGAGGTGAAGCTGCGTCGCCGGCGCCGGCAAGAACCTCTGCAGCAGGAGGAGCAGCAGCAGCAGCAGCAGCAGCAGCGGCGGCGGCGGCGGCGGCGGCATCATCATCACCATCAGCAGCAGCAGCAACAGCAGGAGCAGCAGCAGCAGCAGCAGCAGCTGCGGCAGCAGGGCGACTTCCACGAGCAGGAGCCGCACGTGCAGCTTCAGGGGCCCCCACCGCCGCCCGCGCAGCAGCTGCTATCTCTGCAGCAGGACTTGAACCCCCTGCCCAAGCTGCGGCGCGGCTGGCGGTGGTATCTGGTGTTGGCAAAGAGGTTGCTGGTGGCGAAGGGCCTAGTGTTGTTGGCGGCCGCGGCGATCAACAGCCTCCCCAACGGCGGCATGTGAAGTGCTGCTGCCCCCAACGGCCGGACCTTGTTCTTGCATGCGCATGCGTACGCTCTCCGATGGAGGTGGGCATTGCGGCCACTGCTGGGGCGGGCAGCCGCCAGTGCCAGCGCGTTATTGCACTGCGCGTTGCCCCCGCCTGGCCACCCGTGCAGGGTCCGCGGCAGCCGCGGTTCCCGCAGCCTATCACAGCCGCTGTCGCACCCATAATGACGCCGCACGGTCCTGGCTGCCTATCTCGCATGCCCTGGCAGCCCGCTCCACTATTGGGTGCCCTTGTGTCACTTCCACGGTGCCATACACATTACCTCCACGGGACCCCAGTGGGACTTTATCATGCAGCCAGGGGCCCTGCTGAATGCCAGTGGCGCTCAGCCTGGGGCGACATGACCACAGTCAGGGGACAGGGCGGGCGCACAGGAGCAGAAGCAATGAGGGTGCAGGACGGGCAGCAGGTATGTGAGGGTGGCTGTCAGCGGTAACAGCACACACATTTCCGAGGCAGCGGCGTGGAGGAGGCAAAATAAGAGTCCGTGCGAGCCGCGCACAAGCTGCGCGATTCAACGCGCCTGCGCTGTGCCGCCGAAATGCGAACGCAGCGCCTCGCCTCACCCAGGTTTGGCAGCGAATCGACTACGCCCGCTGCGGCACTGCTTCCGCTCCAGCCGCCTCAACGTGTCCGTTTCGGCTGTCGCACTTGCATAGTCGTCAAGCACCGCCATGTAACCCACTTATGCACAAAGCCTGGTACTTAGCACCATCTGGGAACAGCGCTGGATTCGGCATAGCCGACACGGGGGACGGGGGATACGGTGGCGGACTGCAGTGCCGACAGCGACCCGGGCGCGGTGGCCAGGTGGTGGCTGTGCAAGTACCGCCAATGACATTGATACTCAGTGCTGCGTTGCGTTCAGGTGCCTTATTTGGAGATCCAAAGTCCCACGAAGGCCGTGCGCGTTCCACCGATTCCAGTTGCCAGTGTAAGTTACGCACGTCGACCCACCACGTGTGTACTCCAATCATGCCGGTACGTCTTTTCATATACTTTAATAACACGCAAGCTACCGGTAGACCGCCTGGTCGACGGAGTGTGCCGAATTTTTGGCTCACTGTCTGAAGCAGCCGTCTTTTGGAGCTGTGCAGAGGCGCCAAAGTGAGACATAGATACTAATCACCGCAGCGCGGCCAGTCTGAGAGCTTGAGAACGCAACAAGTTGCACGCCCCGCCGACGCCCAGCCGCGCTGATTGTGGCGCTCTAGGGCGTGGCGCGAACTGCACAGGCTGCGCACGTGGCAACCGCCCCTGATTAGGAATCCTCACTACTCCTCTGCTTCCCTTCTTGCGCAGTCCGAGCCAGGCCCGCCGGCAGGGCAGGGCACGAGCCCCGGCTGAGTAAAGCCCTCAAGCGGTACCAGCAGGCCAAGAAACACAGCAACCCCAGCACAGCGTTTGGAGCAGATGACGCCCCGCACCTTGGTCGTCAGTGTTGACCCCGCGGCCCCCCAATCCTTCGACGCCGGCGGCGGCCACGCCGTTTGGATCGCGCTGGCTGGGCCCCCGCCCAAGCCCGCCGCGCGGCCACGGGGGGCCGGCACTGTCGCGCACCCTGTACTCGCCTGGTGCGTCCCCGCCGCCCGCGGCGCCGCCGCGCGGGCGCTGACAGCCGGCCAGCGGTTCAAGATGCAGGCCGCTGACCGGACGGGGGGCGAGGTCCTCAAAATCGACGCGGGCGAGCGCCCGGTGCTCGACAGCCCGGCCGACATGCTGACGGGGCAGCAGGGGCTGCCAGCCGCGCTCGTCCGCGGCGTGAGGTCGGCCCTTGGGCTGCCGTCCGGCGAGGCGAAAGCGGGTACGGCCCCGCAGGCCAAAGGCCGGCGTGCCAGCGGCCGCATCGGCGAGGAAAGGGCGGCGTCAGAGGAGCGCGAGGTGGGCCACCACAGCGGCGGCGGCGGCCGCGGCGGCGGCCGAGGAGGGGACGAGAGGTCGGAGGTGGGCGAGGATGCGGTAGCTGGGGCCGAGGCCGACGTTTGGGGCATCGTGGGGGCGCTCGGGATAGAGGAGTCCGGGACCGCGGGCGAGGAGAGCAGCGGGGCGGGGCGTGACGACGCGCTCTCTCCCTTGAGGGGGCGGCGGGGGCAGAACGAGGAGGGG